CTTCAGCCCATCGTTGTAGTCACTGTGTGAGTCCACCTCATTGAGGGCTATTTTGGTTACCTCGTGCCGGTCTGACAGGAATATACCACAAATGAGATGGCTTTAACAAAACTGACCAGTTTTGTTCCGTTATAGTTTTTGTGGCTAAAAGTCCAAGTTCAAAGTGCCAGGCTCTAGGGGCTTGGTGAAAGTCCCTCAACCTTGGGCTTCAGCTCTGCGTCTTACTCACAGCCCACTGAAGCTAGAGGCATCTCTTCACTCAGGCAGCTATTGGCTGCTGAAGCTGACAAACCCAGAGTCGACAAGTGAAAAGGCACAGTCCTGATACTACCAAACCACATGGCAGGCCATTGATTTAAGTCCAGTGAAAATCTGAAGATCAGCAGAGCATGGCAGGCTGCTGAACAATGACTCAACTACATGCAGGGTTCAAGTGTGCCATCAGCTAGAGACCATTCCCAAAGCTGGTCTAATGCTGCTGCTTATATACTGAAAGCAGCCCACATCCCTAAAGCAGCTACTCAGCTACTTGTGGTAGATCCCACCATGGAGTTGATTGACAGTCTCATCATGGGGAATAACTACCACCAGGTACCCAGCCACTCAACCAGGCCCAGCCAAGTTGACACACAACCTTAACTACCACAATCCCACCCCTTGTCAACTTGGCACCTGTACAGATCTCCTTCACTAGGTGGCTCCAGTCCCCTAATTCCTCTGAGTGGGGACCTCCCCCTCCTTGGCCTGGTGGTCCCTGTTCCTCTAACTCTTGAGCATGGCAGCCCTGCTCCCTTACTCTTGGGCAGTGGCTACGGGTCCCTCCCACTAGCTCACACAAATGAGCAACCCTACTCCTGGTACCATATTCTGTTTTGGTTACCTAATTCCACTCTGACAGGAGTATACCACAAATGGGATGGCTTTAACAAATAGGAATTTATTCTTATAATATTTGGATGTTAGAAGTCTCAGTTCCAAGTGCTAGGCTCTAGGGACTGGGTAAAAGCCTCTCAACCTTGGCTTTAGCTCTGACTTATGCTCCCGGCCCACTGAAGCTGGAGGCTTTTCTTCACTCAGACAGCTGCTGGCTGCTGAGGCTGACAAGCCCAAGGTTGACAAGTAAAAAGGCATAGTCCTACTGTTACCAAACAACACAGCAGGCTACTAATTCAGGTCCAGATGAAGTCCCGAGATTGGCAAGGTGTGGCAGGCTGTTGAACAACAACTTAGCTACATGCAGAGTTCAAGTGTACCAAAAGGCTAGAGACTACTCCCAAAGCTGTTTTTTATATGGGAAGCAGACCACATCTCTAAAGCAGCTACTCAGTTGCTCTAATAGATTCTGCCATGGAGTTAATTACCAGACTCACTCTGGGGAATTAACTACATTCAGCTACCTAGCCACTCAACTAGGCCCAACCAAGTTAACACATAAACTTAACTACCACTAGGGCCTTCCCCTTTACCAAGCATGATATCCCTCTCCAGGGAATGGTCTCTTCTGACAATATGACTGTAGTAGGTGAGATGAAGTCTGGTCATTCTCACTTCCAAGGAACATTCTGGATATACTTCTTCCAGGATAGGTTTGTTCATTCTTCTGGCAGTCCATGGTACTTTCAGTATCCTCCGCCAGCACCACAACTCAAAAGCATAAACTCTTCTTCGGTCTTCCTTATTCATTGTCCAGCTTTCACATGCACCTGAGACTATTGAAAATACCATAGGTTGGGTTAGGCATACCTTAGTCTTCAAAAAGACATCTTTGCTATTCAGCACTTTAAAGAGGTCTTTTGCAGCACATTTGCCCAGTGCAATACATCATCTGATGTCTTGACTGCTGCTTCTGTTGGTGTTGATTATGGAACCAAGTGATATGAAATCTTTGATAACTCCAATCTTTTCTCCATTTATTGTGATGCTGCTCATTGGTCCAGTTATGAGGATTTAAGTTTTCTTTATATTTGTTATATATGTGGTTATATATGCAGCACATACAAATGTGTATATACATATGCCTATGTTATGTGCTGTCGAGTCAGCCCTGACTCATAGTGACCCCTCCTTGGGTTTCCGAGGCAGTATCACTACGGAAGTAGGATTGCCCAACCTTCCTTCCGAGGAGTGGCTGGTGGGTTTGAACCTCCAGCCTTCTGGTTAGCAGTCAAGTGCCTTAGCCACTATGCTACCAGAGATCCCATATATGCCTATAGATACTCCTATACATGCACATGCATGTACTTGCAAATGCCTTTTGATACACATATATGTATCCATATCTACCTACATAACCACACACATATTTTTTGGTTGTTTTTACTGTGGTCTTCTAAACTGTAAAGGGAAAGTTTCAAATAAGCTACTTTTATGGCTATCTTACGGATATTTTTATTGCTGTTATGTGCCATCAGTTGATTCCAACATAGCAACCACATATGACAGAGTAGAACATCCACATAGGGTTTTCTAGGCTGTAACCTTTATTGGAGCAAATTGCCAGGTCTTTCCCCAGTGGAACTGCTGAGTGAGTTTGAACCACCAACCTTTGAGTTAGCAGCTATGTGCTTAATGATTGTGCTACCAGGGCTTTTTGTTTTGTTAGCAATTAAGTTATTTTTTATTATTCAAAAGGTGTTTTTGATGCAAAAAACCAATACCAAAAAGGATATTTGGCATTTTTTTTTTTTTAAATGGAAAAAGCAAAAAAAAAAAAAAGTCATCTCTCTTGCTCTATGACTCATCTTCCTTGTTTTTGCAATTATATAAATGTAATCACAACTGTATTAAACTAATATTTAAGGAAAAAAAAATAATACAACCTCATGATTAGGGGGCAGTGCATAAGGAAGACCAAAGAAGAGTTGACGCCTTTGACTTGTGTGGGTGAACAATACTGAAAATACCACGGACTTCCAGATAAACGAGCAAATCTGACCTGGAAGAAGTGCAGCCAGAATGTTCTTTGGAAGCTAGAATGGCCAGACTTTGTCTCACTTACTTTGGTCATGTTGGCAGAAGGGACCATTCCCTGGAAAAGGATATTGTGCTTGGTAAAGTGGAGGGTCAGCAAAAAAGGGGGTGACCTTCAATAAGATGGATTGACAGAGTGGTTGCAGTGATGGGCTCAAGTAATGCAAGGAGTGCAAGTATGGCACAGGACCAGGCTGTGTTTCATTCTGTTGTACATAGGGTGTCTGTGAGTTGGAGTTGACTCAATGTCACCTAACAACAACAACAACACTTTTTAAGCTAATATACAGCCTCTAGATATGGATGCAAAGAACCCTGGTAGCTCAGTGGATAAAGCATTCAGCTGCTAACTGAAAGGTCAGCAATTAAAACCCTCTAGCTCCCTAGTGGCGTAGTGCCTAAGGCATTTGACTGTTAACTAGAAGGCTGGCATTTCAAACCACCAGCCACTCCTTGGAAGGAAGTTTGGGCAATCTACTTCCTTAGTGATACTGCCTCGGAAACCCAAGGAGGAGTCACTGTGAGTTGGACTCAACTTGATGACAGTGAGTTTAATTTTTGGTTTAGCTGCTCCATGAGAGAAAGATGTGACAGTCTGCTTCTAGAAAGGTTTCCAACCTTGGAAACCTTTTGGGGCAGTTCTACTCTGCCCTAATAGGGTTACTATGAGTCATAGTTGACTTGATGGCATTGGGTTTAGATATGCATAGCTTTTAGTTAAATAGAGTAATGATTATTTTATCTTTATTATAGTCATTTAATTCCCTTTATTGCCTGTCTTCATACCAAAAGAAAAAAAAAATTACATTTCGTCATTGCCTACTTACTTTTTCCATTGTTGTTGTTGTTGTTAAATGCTGTCGAGTCAGACCTGACTCATAGCGACCCCTCCTTGGGTTTCCGAGGCAGTATCACTATGGAAGTAGATTGCCCAACCTTCCTTCCGAGGAGTGGCTGGTGTGTTTGAACTGCCAGCCTTCTGGTTAGCAGTCCAGTGCCTTAAGCACTATGCTACCAGAGCTCCATACACAGGAATAAAAAGGGACTGATCAGTGATTATGTCTTGAATGGCATTTATGAGTAATGCTTCTGCTCTGTTACAGTCGTTTTTTATTGTTTTGACTTACCTACTCTCAGAACTGAACCACTTAAAGCTTTATAGGGTTCAGTTGGAGATGAACAGGAGTTCAATATTTTCACTTATTTATTTTTCCCACTCTTTGTTACCTCTACTAGGAATTAACTGTTGAAAAACAGAATTTTATTTGGTGATGGAAAAAATAAGATTCAGAACTGTGATATAAATGCTTGTTTATAATAAATGAAGCTATTTCATAACACTGTTTCATAATGCTATAAAATATATATAGTTAGAGATAGTTATTTTTTGTGGTCTTTGGAGAATTCCTAACTTGAATATTTCAGTGCATTCTCTTCATCATTATTTTTTCTAATTTCATATTTTTAGGACATTGTGTGCCAAATATCAAGCAATTTGCTGAAAAATAAACTGTCATAAACAAATCTCTGTGGAAACATTGCCATTGTTACTTTGGTGTCGTAAGTCTCAGTTGCTAATGACAGAGCAACCTTAGGAAATTAGGAATTTCCAATGAAGTAAATTTCCTGACAGATGAAAATGACTATCAGAATGACTAAAATTTAACTTTTATTTATGAATTAAATTAGTGTATAAATGAAAGTATAAATGAGTAATAAGTACTATGAGTAGAAACCTACTTTATGGTACCTAACAACAACATATATATGTAAAAGATGAATTGGTTAAGATGAAATTACTTAATGGAGTTCACCTGAAGAGTAAAGATTATCAGTTACTAAAAATTATAAAATGTTTTCTTGAGATTGTTTTATTCTTTCCATGCTTAATAAGTAGGTAAATAAATTATAAAACTATTATATTTATGATACCTTACCCTCATTTTTATGTGTATCATCTTTAGTGTGGTAGATTTCTTTTGAAGCAATCTGATTATAAAATTATCCTTTAAAATTTTCTTTTTTAATAGAAAAAGTTACGTCGATCACAACATGCTCGCAAAGAAACAGAGTTCTTACGGCTCAAGAGGACCAGACTTGGCTTGGATGACTTTGAGTCTCTGAAAGTTATAGGAAGAGGAGCTTTTGGAGAGGTGTGCTGCTTTTTCAAAGTCACCTTCATTGGAAATTCTAGCCGTTTGGTCTCCTAAGCACCAAGATCATCTTTTGATATATGTAGAGGTCTATACCTGCTACAAAAAATATATATCTTAAAGATAGTTTAAAATACATATTAAAATATAAGTCCTGAACTGCCAACAATGGCAAATTCCTGCTTTATTTAAAAGAAACCTACCTTTCATATTTGAATAAACAGTAATGACTGTTTAATGTTTATAATAAGATACATTTTTATATTCTAGGTACGACTGGTCCAGAAGAAAGATACAGGCCATATCTATGCAATGAAGATACTGAGAAAGGCTGATATGCTTGAAAAGGAGCAGGTATGTGTTCTTTAACACATGAAACCCAAATGAACATTAATAATTGAAGTAGAAATGTATATTAGAAATAAAAATAGAATTAATTTCATATAAATATTAGAAATGTAAGATTTTCCGAGAAGAAATCAGTGCATCTCTATTAGTTTTTGTCAGCCTGTCCACTGTTTCTCAATTCTTACAGTAAAAATTTCTTTTAAATTTATAATAAAAATATCTTCTGAGATATCTACTTTTCTGACGTCATTCACAATAAAGAACAGTTCTTAGCATCCTCTATACTTGTAATATATCAGATAAGCACAACTAGTTTCCTGAAATTTTGTTAATTTGATGTATTTCCAAAATCTGTACCACTTTTTTTTTTTAAATGTTCTTGGGCTCTTTCTGAGGAACCCTTGTAGTGCAGTGGTTAAAGCACTTGGTTTATAACAAAAGGTCAGGAGTTCAAACCTACCAGCCACTTCATAGGAGAAAGATTTGGCAGTCTGCTTCCATATAGATTTACATTCTTGGAAACCCTATGGGACAGTTCTACTCTGTCCTATAGGGTTGCTATGAGTCTGAATCAACTCTAAGGCAGTGGTACAGAGAGTTGGGCTTTCTCTATATATCCTGTGGCTTAATGCAATGGTATGGAATGTGCATAAAGTGTGAAAATACCTATAAGAATGTTTTATGTGTTTACCTATCTTTGGTCTCGGTGGACTCTCTAGAACCCTAAAAACCCTAAATTGAGTACAAATCCTAGTAAAGGATTCAACAGTGGGGAGATGGCACCTCTCTGTATCTTATGCCTTATTTCAGTCTTTCAGTTCCTACCTGAAGCTTATTTTGTTATTACAGCAATATAATATTGATATTTATTTAATTGTGCCTCACTTGGATCTTTTTTTTCCCCCCATTCTTTAACTTCATATTTTAATTCATTGGGTATGTGTGGTGTGTCATGTACTGTTCTAGGTTCTGGGAATACGGTGATTAACAAGGTAAACCTTACCCTATTCTTTTGTACTACCACTTGTCTGTGAGTTTGTTGTATTGTGGTGGCTTGCATGTTGCTGTGAGGCTGGAGGCTATGCCACCAGTATTTCAAATACCAGCAGGGTCACCCATGGTGGACAGGTTTCCGTGGAGATTCCAGACTAAGACAGACCTTCAAGAAGAAAGGTGCCATCCACTTCTCAAATAATTGGCCAGTGAAAACCTTATGAATAGCAGTGAAACACTGTCTGATATATTACTGGAAAACATGATGAATAGCCCTGAAGCATTTTCTGATATAGTGCTGGAAGATGAGCCCCTCAGTTTAGAAGGCACTCAAAATATCACTGGGGAAGAGCTGCCTCCTCAGAGTAGAGGCGACCTTAATGACGTGGATGGAGTAAAGCTTTCAAGACCTCCATTTGCTGATGTGGCATGACTCAAAATGAGAATAAACAAGTGCAAACATCCATCAGTAATTGGATCAATGAATGTATGAACAATGAATCTAGGAAAATTGGAAGTTGTCAAAAATGAAATGGAATGCATAAAGATCAGTAGCCTAGACATTAGTGAGCTGAAATGGATTGGTTTGGGCCATTTTGAATCAGACACCCATATGATCTACTATGCCGGGAATGACAAATTGAAGAGGAATGGTGTGGCATTCATCATCACAAAGGATGTTTGAAGATCTATCCTGTAGTACAGTGCTGTCAGTGATAGGATAATATCCATATGCCTCCAAGGAAGGCCAGTTAATATGACTGTTATTCAAATTTACACACCAACCACCAAAGCCAAAGATGAGGAAATTGAAGATTTTTACCAACTTCTGTGGTCTGAAATTGACCAAACATGTGATCAAGATGTGTGATTATCAGTGGTGATTGGAATGCAAAACCTGGAAATAAAGAAGGATCACTGGTAGTTGGAAAATATGGCCTTGGTGGTAGAAATGACGCTGGAGTGCTTGATAGAATTTTCAAGACCAATGACTTACTCATTGCAAATATCTTTTTTCAACAAATTAAGTGGTGGCCATACACATGGATTTTGCCAGATGGAATACACAGGAATCAGATTGACTACATCTGTGGAAAGAGGTGATGGAAAAGCTTAATATCTTTAGCCAAAACAAAGACTGTGGAATAGAGCATCAATTGCTCATACACAAGTTCAGGTTGAAGCTGAAGACAATTAAAACCAATCCATGAGAACCAAAAAATTACCTTTATTATAAACCTGCTGCCGTTGAGTTAGGTCTGACTCATAGCAACTCCTCCTTGGGTTTCCGAGGTGATATCACTGCAGAAGTAGATACCCAGCCTTCCTTCTGGGGAGTGGCTGGTGAGTTTGAACCACCAGCCTTCTGGCTAGCAGTCAGATGCCTTAGGCACTATGCCACCAGAGCTCCCAATCTTTATGATAGCCTTCTTGAATTTAGAGACCATCTAAAGAATAGATTTGATGCATTGAACACCAGTGACCAAAAACCAGAGGAATTGTGGAATGACATCAAGAACAACATCCATGAAGAAAGCAAAAGTTCACTAAAAAGACTGGAAAGGAAGAAAAGACCAAAATGGATGTCAGAAGAGACTCTGAGACTTGCCCTTGAGTGGAGAGTAGCCAAAGCAGATGGAAAAAAAATGACAAGATAAAAGAGCTGAACAGAAGATTTCAAAGAGCAGCTTGAGAAGACAAAGTCAATTATTATGATGAAATGTGCAGAGATCAGGAGTTATAAAACTAAAAGGGAAGAACACACTCAGCATTTCCCAAGATGAAAGAACTGAAGAAAAAATTTAAGCTTCGAGTTGTAGTATTGAAAGATTCTATGGGCACAATAGGAGCTCTGGTAGCATAGTGCCTAAGGCACTTGACTGCTAACCAGAAGGCTGGTGGTTCAAACCCACCAGCCACTCCTCGGAAGGAAGGTTGGGCAATCTACTTCCATAGTGATACTGTCTCGGAAACCCAAAGAGGGGTTGCTATGAGTCGGGTCTGACTTGACAGTAAATAACAACAACAACATGGGCAAAATACTGAATGATTCAAGAAACATCAAAAGAAGACATAAGGATTATAGAGGGTCACTATCAAAAATGGTTGGTTCATCTGTTTCAGGAAGCATATGATCAAGAACCAATGATATTGAGGGAAGAAGTTGAAGCAGAACTGAAGGAACTGGCGAAGAATAAGGCTCTAAGAATTCACTGAATACCTATTGAGATGTTTCAACAGATGCTGCACTGGAGGCACTCAAACGTCTATGTCAAGAGATTTGGAAGACATCTACCTGGCCAACTGACTGGAAGAGATCCATATTTGTACCCATTCCAAAGAAAGGTGATCCAAGATAATGTGGAAATTATCAAACAATATCATTAATATCACCTGCAAATAAAATCTTGCTGAAGATAATTCAAAAACATTTGCAGCAGTACATTGACAGAGAATTTCTTGAAATGCAAGCTGATTCAGAAGAGAATGTGGAACAAGGGATATCATTGCTGATGTCAGATGGATCCTGGCAGAAAGCAAAGAATACCAAGAAAAATGTTTACTTGTGTTTTATTGACTATGCAAAAGCATTTAGTGTGTGAATCATAACAAGTTATGGATAATACTGAGAAGAATGGGAATTGCAGAACACTTAACTGTGCTCATGAGGAACCCGTACATAGACCAGGAGGCTGTCGTTTGAGCAGAACAAAGGTATACTGCATGGTTTAAAATCAGGAAGGGAGTGCATCAGGGAGTGTATCTTTTCACCATACTTATTCAGTCTGTATGCAGAGCAAATAATCCAAGAAACTGGACTATGTGAGGAAGAATGTGGCATCAGGATTGGAGGAAGACTCATGAACAACCTGTGATTCGCAGATGACACATCTTTGCTTGCTGAAATTGAGGATGACTTGAAGTGCTTACCGCTGAAGATCAAAGACTATAGTCTGCAGTATGGATTACATCTCAACATAAAGAAAACAAAAATCCTCACAACTGGACCAAAAAGCAGCATCATGATAAATGGAGAAAGGATTGAAGTTGTCAGAGATTTCATATTATTTGGTTCCACGATCAACACCAACGGGAGCAGCAGTTAAGAAATCAGACGATGTATTGCACTGGGCACATCTGCTGCCAAAGACCTCTTTGAAGTGCTGAAGAACAAAGATATCTCTTTGAAGACTATGGTGCACCTAACCCAAGCCATGATATTTTCAGTAGCCTCATATGCTGGACAGTGAACAAGGAAGACTGAAGAAGAGTTGATGCTTTTGAGTTGTGGTGTTGACAAAGAATACTGAAAGTACCATGGACTGCTAGAAGAACTAACAAATCTGCCCTGGAAGAAGTACAACTGGAATGCTCTTTGGAAGGGAGAAAGGCCAGACTTGGTCTCACCTGCTTTGGTTATGTTGTCAGAAGGCACTATTCCCTGGAGAATGATACCATGCTTGGTAAAGTGGATGGTCAGTAAAAAATGAGGAAGACCCTCAGGAGATGGATTGACATGGTGGCTGCAATGATGGGCCCAGGTATAGCAAGGATTTGGTGGATGGCACACCAGTAGGCAATGTTTTGTTATGTTGTACATAGGGTCACTATGAGTTGGAGCTGACTTGACAGTACCTAAAAATAACAATTGTATATAAAGCTAGGAAGCTATTTCACATTGTCATAATTAAATACTGTGAAGAATATATTTACAAAGGATAAGGGTGATACAGACAATCTGGGGTTTCGTGGGAGGAATTATTTCAGAGAAGGTGTCTCTAAGGATGGAATGTTTGACCTCAGACTGAAGTATGAGAAGGAGTGACGTATATACAAATCTGGTGGAAGAAAGGTCTAGGTAGAAGGAATAGCAGATGCAGAGACCCTGAGACTAGAATAATATTGGCTTGATCAGAGAAGTAAAAGAATGCCAAAAGAAGCCATCATGGGTGGAATTAATTGAGGGGAGCAGTAATGGGAAATGCAATGAGAGAGGTAGGCAGGGAGCAGAT